CGCCGAGCCACCTGGAAGTTGTAGGTTCATTGTTACTTCTTGATGGACTAAGCTGTATTGGACCATTTGGCTCAAACCACTGAAGAGTCACATAAACTCCAAGTCGGAGACTACGGGGACTTGAAAAAACTATTAGCCGCAGAACTTACTGAAACTCTTCTCGGGGGGAGAAGGGGGGAGGGGAGAGATGGGGAGCAGAACGTGACCTTGTAACCCGGAAGACACTTGGGAATGAGGAAGCGAGGGGCCGACCTGGTTCGCTGGTCTCCTGGGAATTGTAGTCTCATTTGGCTAGCGCAAAGGGTCACGGGAGCTGAAGTCTTCCTGGCAGAAGTTGGGGGAGGGAGGCGGATAGCACTTAAAAGTCCCAAGGGACGTACATGTTAAACTCCGTGAGAGCAAAGACTTGTGTCTGCTTTGTGCACTGGTGTATTCCCCAGAACCTAACACAAGGCCTGGCACACAGTGGGTGGCTTATACAATTTTTGGATAAATGAATGAAAAAGGAATAAAGAAATCATGATAGGTTCCTAAACGGATGTCTCAATGGATTGTGGGACTTGTAGTCTGGAGCTTGGAGTTGTGCCGGAGCTGGTGATACAATTATTTATATTTATGCTTATTTATATTGGGGACCTACTCGTAGTAAAAAATTATTCGTTGTTCAACAGAAATTCAAATTGTACTGGGTGTCTCCAATTTATATTTTCTAATCTGCTCCCCCTAAGAACCCAACTGTTTCAGGGCCGGGGCTTTAAGGGGCATCACTAACTCACACCCTCCATACAGATGGAAAGACTGAGACCACAGGGTGCAGAGCACAATGGCCCTGGCCCCAAGCTCTGATTCCATTGCCTAAAGAATTGGGGCAAGTGGGAGTTGGCAGATGTTCTGATTAAAAGCATAGGTTCAAGTTCCAGCTCCTCCTCTTCCCAGCTGTGTGATCCTGGGAAAGTCGCCTCACCTCTCTGAGCCTCAGTTTCCTCAGCTGTGAAATATGATGATAAATAATCAAACACTCTTCCTCAATCAGATAATCCACGTGAAGTAACCTGGGAAGAAAGAGGCACACCTGAGGTGCTCAATAAGTGTTGGTATTATAAGAACGCACCAGGGGGAGGGTAGAGCTCAGTGGTAGAGTGCATGCTTAGCATGCATGAGGTCTTGAGTTCAATCCCCAGTACCTCCATTTAAAAAAAAAGAAAAGCACCAAGAAAAAAAAGTGCGCACCAAGCTTGTGCAATCTCAGAGACAGTGCCTCTGCTGTTTAGAGGAACACTCCCCACAGCTCCCACCTCCTCAGCTTTCTGCATGGCTGACTCCTTACTGAAATGATGCTGGGCACTTCTTCTTTTGATGTTTGTCACCCCCACCAGATGGTGATCTTTATGTGGGCAGGCACCAGGTTGTTTGTAGCTGGAACCCCAGTACCCAGAATAGAGCCTGACACACAATGGTTAAGTGAATGAGTGAGCCAGCCCATCCCTCGCAGCTGTGTCCCCTGCTTCCCGCCGTCCCCAGGCCTCTCCAGGGAGGTCCTGGGCACGAGGAGTCAGGAGTGGCCTGGCAGGGCAGGGAGTGGGAGAAGAACGCATTCTGGCCCGTGATCTTCATCATCAACCCCCATTCTTCCAGGCCAGGTTATGAACAGGCAGGACACACACACATTCACCCTGAGACAGACCTAGAAAGGGGCCTGAATTTGGCTCAGATAATGAGACTTAGACCTTCGGGCTGCACATGCCACCTCCTCTCCTGAGCCTTGGTTTTTCTGTCTGTAAAATGGGGAGGTTCAGGGGGTGGGAGTATAGCTCAATGGGAAAGCACCTGCTTAGTATGCATGAGGTCCTGGGTTCAATCCCCAGTACCTCCATTAGAAAAAAAATATTTTTAATGGGGAGGTTCAACTAGTCCCATTTTGTGGAGATGAAACCTTGGGCAACCCAAAATGAAAGGAAACATTCGCTCTGAGTTTTCCAAGGAGGGAAAGGACTGGTATTCATTCATTCATTCATTCATTCATTCATCAAAAAGGCAGTAACAAGCAGGGATCAAGAAGTCAACCATCTGGGCTTGTATCCCAGCTCTGCCTCTTTCCAGCTGTGTGACTTTGTGGCAGTTACCTAACCTCTCTGGGCCTCAGTTTCGCCATCTGTTAAAATGGAGTTAATGATGATATCCGCCTCCTGGAGGTTTTGCAAGGATTAAATGAGTTAATACAAAGGTGATTAGAATACCACTGAGTGATATACAAGACTTTGTTGTTATTATTCATTTACAAACATACACATTTGGGGGTTGGGGGTATAGCTCAATGGTAAAACACATGCCTGGAATGCACAAGGTCCTGGGTTCAATCCCTAGTTCCTCCATCAAGGGACAGACAAATTAGTAAATTAAAAAAAATACATATCATAGTTTGAAGGCCTTCATATTCCTTGTCTTATCAACATCCCACAAGAACAGGGGATATCAATATCCTAATTTTACAGATGATGAAACTGAAGCCCGTGGTGCTTCCCCTGCAGAGCTGGGGAACAGTAATGGGAGACAGACACCTGGGCCACCTAAGAGCAGAAGTCAGGATTCTGGGGATGGTTCCCCCACAGCCAGGGAGGAGGGCAGGGGTGGGGAATAAGGAGGGAAAGAGGTTTCCGAGGCTCAGTGGAAGGCAGGCTGCTGCGTTCGGTTCTCCCAGAGCTCCAGGCCATGGGGCACCTACTGTCTGCTGGGCCCTGTGCTGGGTGCCGGGGACACCACAGTGACCCTGACTTGGTTGCTATCTCCACCCTCATGGAGCTCAAAGTCCAGGGGAGAGGATACGTGTGTGGCCAGAGGCAGCCAGAGCTATGATGGGGATGCACAGGCAGCTGCGGGAGCCTGGAAGAGGGCTGGGGGGGGGGAGAAATCAGGGAGACTTCCTGGAGGAGGTGATGCTAAAGCTGCGACCCAAAGGATGAGCAGGGCTTGTGCCGGTCAGGCTACTCGAGTGGAAACAAAAAAGACAAGTGCAAAGGCTCCAGAGGAGGGTGCAAGAAATAGTCCAGCTCAGTCAAAGCAAAGTGTGACACCCCACAAGGCAGAGGGGAACCTGGGCAGGCCCAGGATGCAGGCTGAGAGCTTCAAGGTAGCTCAGGCTCCATGCACCCCAAATTCCACCAAGGCCCCACCCTGCCTGCTGCTGTCCCAGATAAACACGTGGACCAGGAATCAGGGAAGTGTGCGAAGTAGCCCAGCTTCTGGCGCACTTGATACAGGCTTGGAGCTTTTTCCAGCCCTGTCTGTCCAGCAGAACCTTCCGTGATGACGGCGATGTTCTAGGTCTGCACCACCCCCCACAGGAGCCACAGGCCACGTGTCCCACGGAGCACTTGAAATGTAGCTAGTGCGGCCCAGGGTTACAGGCTGAGTGGTGTCTCCCCACAAATTCATACCTGGGACTCCTAATCCCGGGGCCTCAGAATAGGGCCTTATTTGGAACTAGGATTTTTACAGGTGAATTTAATTAGGTCACACTGGAATAGGGTGGCACTAATCCAACAGGACTGGTGTCCTTATAAAAAGGGAAAATTTGGACACGGACATGCACGCAGGGAGAGCCCATGTGAAGATGGAGGCAGAGATCAGAGCAATGCATCAACAAACCAAGAGATGCCAAAGTTTGCCAGCAAACCACCAGAATCTAGGAGACAGCCCCCCAGCAGTCTACCCCGTGGCCTCGGAAGGAACCAACCCTGCAAGCACCTGACCTCAGACTTCCAGTCTCCAGAACAACGAGAGGATAAATTTCTCTCATTCAAGCCCCCCCCCGCCTCCCCCGGCTGTGACCCTTTGTTACAGCAGCTCCAAGGAATACACTGAGAAACAGAAGTTTTATATTTCTTTTTAATTAATTTTAAGTAGCCACATGTGGCTAATGGCTGCTTTATTGAACAGCACAGAAGATGGTTTCCCATCGCCGCATCCCCTAACCTGCAGGGGAGAAATGGAGGCTCAGAACAGAGCTGTCCCATCCAGGGTGGCAGACAGGATGCTGCCCCAGGAACTTGGCAAGATGGAGACAGAAAGACCTGCAGGCACTGCCTTGGCTGGGAGGATGGAGAGGAAGAACTGTCTTCCCGCCGACGTAGCTGTGTGCAGGGGGTGCATCTCTGCTATCCCATACTGTTGCCGCCACTCCCATGGACTGTTTAAATGCGAACAAAATCCAAGTTCAGTTTTTCAGTAGCACTGGATGCTTATCAAGGGCTCAGTAGCCACGTGGGGTTCCCAGGCTGGGCAGCACAGATGTAAAACATTTCCACCATCGCCAAATGTCTTGTCAGACACATGGACACGACGCACTGTGGCAAAAGCACTGAGCATGCACTGACAGCCTCCTCTGGTGTGTTCCGTATGCTATCAGCCCATTTTAAAGATGGGGAAGGTCAAGGCTGTTAGTGCTAAAGGGAACTCTATAGAGGAGTGGGTGAGAGTCCCTGGGGCTGAGAGGGCTAGGCTAGTCCCCTCTGCTGACCCCCAGGCTGTGTCCTCAAAGATGCAGAGGCCATAGGTGGGGGAAGGAGGCCACCCAGGACCCAAGATGAGAGACAGGACAGGGAAAGGGGAAGTGAGCGAGAAGGGGAGGGTGTCAATGTCACTGGGCGCCCCGCCCTCACTTTCCCGGCAGCCTGGAAACTCTCACACACACCTTCAACAGAGTGGATCAGTCACACACACGTGTGCACATGCTCAAGAGGCCTGCCACATGCCAGGATGTCTGTGCACACGCAGACACACTGGCACAAGCTTACAGGCACAACTTGTCCTGCCCTCAGCCTCTCCTTCTCTCACCCATACTCCATCAGTGCCCTCACAACCACACCCCCCCAGCACAGACTCACGGTCCTCCCCTGCCCCAGCACAGCTCCAGCTGACCCACAGCCCTCACGCCATCACCCTGATGCACACGTGAATAGGGGGAGGCTGAGACACCTCGTCCCACCTTTGAACTTCGGTGTTGCTCGGGCATCCACCCCGCAGTTCCCCCCTCACAGCCTGGGAGCCCCACTGAGGCCCAGAGAGGGACTGGTGCTTCCCCAGAACCACACGGCGGGGTGGGTGGGGGCAGCGCACACAGCAAACCCATTCGTCCCCATCCCAAGGCGATCTCTGTTCCAATGAGCAGTTGCCTCCTGCTCCAACAAGACTTTGGGAAGCCCACTGGGCATCAGCAGCCCCAGGAGGCTTCGAGGAGAACCACCGCTCGTCCCCCCACTGCCCTGTTCCTTCCTCTCCCTGTGGCCCGCCTGCCGCATCCCTGCGTGCTCCCCAAGCAGCGGCGGAGGGCCTGCGTGGGCATGCCCTGGATGTCTGGACCAGCGCCCCAGCCATGGGCTCAGACGCTCCGCACACTGGAGATGCTGGACAGGGGCTCCCGCATCCGGAAGCTGTGTGACCGCGAGCCCCGAAAGCTGTCCCTCGGCCTCAACGAACTGTCCGTGGTGGAGGCCCCGGAGTGGGCCTCGGCGGCCCGGGCCAGGCAGTCCCCGGGCCCTCGCAGGCCCAGCCGGAGACATGCGCAGCAGAGGAAGCCCAGCACTGCCCGGCACACCTCCCGGCTGCGGAAGGAGTAAATGAGCGGGTTGACGGCAGAGTTGAGCACAGCCAGCGTCAGGATCCAGTCCATGCCCCGCAGGTACTCCTGCGCCCAGACGTTGGAGCCAAAGATGTCGGCCAGCAGCAGGCCGAAGAGGGGGCCCCAGCACACCACGAAGGCCACCAGGATCATGAGCACCGTCTTGAGCAGCCGGCGGGCCTTGCGGCGGGCCGGGGAGCGCGGGGCCTTCTGCCCGTTGGCCCGCACCACCCGGAAGATGGCCCCGTAGAGCAGCATGATGGTGGCCAGGATGCAGGCGAAGACGACCACGCAGAAGAGGATGTAGCCCTTGGAGTAGAGCGGCAGCAGGCTGGAGCAGTGCTGGAAGGCGCACACGCAGTTCCAGCCGAGCAGGGGCAGCAGGCCCAGCAGTGCGGCCAGCAGCCAGCAGAGCCCGATGAAGCTGCACACGCGGCCGGTCTTGGTGGCCCCGCTCTCGGCCACCGGCCGCACCATGGTGGCGAAGCGCTCGCCGGCCGTGAAGAGTAGGCTGAAGGTGGAGGCGGCCAGCGCCATGAAGAGGAGGCCCTCGCGCAGGAACCACTGGGCGGGCGCCAGGCGGAAGGTGTGCGCCCCCGACAGCAGGACGTTGGCCAGGTACGCGGCGCCCGTGAGCAGGTCGCTGAGCGTGATGTTGACCAGGCAGTAGTAGACCCAGCGCCGGGAGCGCATGCGGCTCACGATGGCCACCAGCACCAGCAGGTTCTCCAGCACCACCAGGCAGCTCACGGCCAC